GGCCGCGGGCGGGCAGAGGGTCGCCAGCGGTGGCCGGGGTGTGGGCGGGGTGAGAAGTCTTGGGGAGGTCCCGAACGGATGCATCCAGCGCCGAGAGTATGAGATGTCTCGCTGCTGATGCCATTGCCGCCGCTGCTGCCCGCTGATGCCGTCGCTCCCACTGCTGCTGCCGCTGCTGCCGCTGCTGTTGGCTGTTGCCGCCGCCTCCGCTGCTGTGGCTGCTCCGTGCTGGTGCCGCGGCTGCTGCCCGCGGCTGCTGCCCCTGCTGCCGCTGCCGCTGCCCCTGCTGCCGCTACCGCTGCCGATGCTGCCCGCAGCTGCCGCTGCTGTTGCTGTTGCCGCTTCCGCACCTGTAGCCTCGGAGGGTGGCAGGCGACCGGAAGCTGAGGCGGTAGATACCCGTAGGGTTGGCCTCTGGCACCCGTGGCGGGTCAACGGGAATCGGATATACAAAGTTTGTATAGATTGGGGTGCCGTGACCCTCGCACTCCCAGCTGCTGGGAACGGGGATCTGATCCGGGAGGCGGAGGGGAGGCAGCAGGGGGGGGGGGGCAGCAGGGTTGGTTTGCCTCTCCACGGACACCGTAGGCATGGGGCCATGGAGGGCGCCCGCGACCTCATTTATCGGCATCCAAAGGGGCCTCAGTCGACGGAAAGGCGAGCTCTGCCGGCCTTGATGCGCCGTGGCAAGAGGGGCGCTGTGGGAAGCGCCCGACGGGCTGTATGACCGGTAATGCGGCCCGCCGCGCTGGCGTTGCCAGTGCCACGTCCGCACCTCTGCAAACCCCGAATCGTTGAAACCCGGCTCCCAGAAGCCATCTGGGACGTCCCCGGCGCGCGGGAAGACCTTAAAGCTCCAGGGCCGCCCGCTGAGCATCGCCACGCGCGGGCAGGGCGCGAACAGGTCGTCCGCGGGCAGCGGGCGTGCATAGTACTGCACGGCAGCTGCCGCGGATGGGAATGAGCGCAGCGGCGCGTGCGCAGCACGCCGGTTTATGCCCGATACCGTGGGATCTTCCCAGAAAGGCTTGGACGCCCCCATGAGATGGCCTTTCATTACGAGCGCAAGCCCACAGCTGGATCCAGCTCAGCTAAAGCTGCAGATCACGCTTCGCGACTTGCGAGCTATATACATACGCACGTTTCTTTGACCAGCACTTCTGTGATTTGTGTCTGTTAGTGATGACATTGCTGTGCATTGTGAGGTGAGACTGCCGGTACCGGTATCACACCGTCGCTTTCTCGTAATTCAATACAAAGGTTGCTATTGGATTCTTAATTATATAAGTAAAGCCACAATCGCCCGAGATCTAGCGAGGTGCGAACCCCACCTGCCTCGAATGCCCCCCCCC